TCTCCATAGACATCTAGATTATTCACTCATCAGATGAGAAATCACAATTTCTTTTTTTCATTAGATTAACAGTTCGGTCCCTTTAATTTTATTGTAGGGATCTTTTACCCAGCCATCAACTGTGCAGAATTTTGAATGCTCATCAGAAGTAAAGAATAGGAAATAACAAAAAAAAAATATCTGCCAAGTCATTTCATCATTTTTGCAGCTGACTCAGCAAAGGCAGGACATGCAAGCTGGTCTCAGAGTTGCTGGTTGGAGGTGAACAAAGGAATCCATCAATTTTACATGATAACTGAAATGGTATGATGTGTAAATATGAATTAAAATGTGTCCTGCAATCTCAGTTGAAGATACTTCCTTAATATGGCATACCCTCTGTGTATACATCATCCCCCTTGGCCAGATTGTTTCTTTGTGATACAGAATACAGAAGTGATCACCTGGTATCCTACTTCTGCCTTTATTCTGCTGCTGTTACATATAGAAAGAATTGAGGTAGACTGTCTTCTAATATTTCACAGGATTCTTCCCAATGGCTCTGGAAAAGACTGTGGTTTTTATACAGCTATATAAATTCTTGTTTCTGTTCTCTCTCTCCTGATTTGCTTTAGATTTATCTAATGTATCTAGTTTAAAAGTTAAGAATTAAATGTTTTGAGGTTTCTAATGATACATATCAAGCTATATTTTTCTAGCTGAACTGAATGATACGAATAGACACAGGGTCTACATAGAAGTGTGCTGGCTGCAAGCTAATCTGAAAATTACCCACATAATTTTCCAGCTTGCACTATTTGCAGAGTATTTGTAGAAGGTCATCAGGTTGATGAATTGCAAACCCAGCCTGTCTGGTTGGGGGGAGACTATATTATCAACACACTGTTCCTAATTCTCCTTGAAGTGAATGTGTATCTGATTTAACCTGTTAGAGATGCTGTTTTTACATTGAACCAGTCACTATCTGATTATCAGTTGTCTTCCTTTTTATCACTTTATTTCAAAAGGGCAATGAAGCAAGTTGCTAATAAAATGAATTAAACTGACATTCAGTAGGAGCTTTTCTTCCTGGTCTTGAGTCAGCAAGGCACTATTCAGTCAAATGAAATCTTCTTCCATTGGACTGCTTTCTCATGCTGCAGGAAATAATATTAGATATAGTCTGTTTCCTTATTAGCTTTGCTAGTGATGCTTAATTCAAGGATGTGTGGCTTTTCTAACTGCTATTTTGTTATCTTTGCTTTTCAGGGGCTTTTGGTGGCAATTCTCTACTGTTTTAACAATACGGAGGTAAGAGGCATAAAAAGTTTCGTTATTCCACAATACTAATTTTTAATTACTTCTATCAATAACACATTTTTAAAAATGAAATCATATTTATTTACAAAATGCTGGCTATTTTGGCTCCAAATCACTTAAAGCCTTTATTTTAAAAAGGACTTTAAAAAAGGACTTGAATCTTTAAAATGGCAAACTAAATTTGACATCTGGTGAGTTTTACATTTTTGGATTTAAGAAATTTTAAACAGAGGCTTAAGTCCCTTGAGGAGCTCTCGGTGATGTCCAAGGTACAATTAATAATAAGCCAAAAAGAAAGAGGGGCATTTTAATTTAATAAAGTTTTAAATGGATTGTGAGGGCTTTATCTAGAAAAGAGAATTTGTTTATCCAGAAAAGAGAATTCCATGATAAATCCTTACATCAATTTCCATAATGACTATCTTTTTGCCTGAGCTCAAAACCCAAGTAGAATCAGGCCTGGTTAATACTTAGATGGGAGATTGCTATCTAATTACCTACTAGACAGAGATAAATCATTTTTGTACTTTTTCAAAGAAAACTGTTTGGAAATGTTCATGTAC